ACATTTCCACTGCACACTCCCCAGAATGGGATATCATATCGCAAATGTGACTCTATCAAGGAGTAGTATACTGACTTTGCGATTGTGTAACCTAGTTCGTTTGCATGAATTTTTACAGCGTAACAACCAGAGGACAATTTTTCATTCAGGTTTTTGACATGTTCATTAAATTTGAGACCGTTGTCAATGTATAGTCCTAAAAATTTAGAAATCACACTGTTTTCAATGATCTGGTGGTTGATAGAAATATCAGATACTTTCTTATCTTTATGCCATAGTATGGTGGTATCATCGGCGAATAGTGTGAAACTTCCTGAAGTTTCACACTATCGTCAAGTCATTGACATATAGTAAAAACAAAATTGGACCTAAGACTGATCCTTGCGGAACACCACATTGTATATTACGTAAGCTTGACATTGTTTTTGTTTTTACTACTTGTGTGCGGCCAGATAAATATGTCGTAAACCATGAATGCGCCTTATTTCTAAATCCGTAATGGTGAAGCTTTCGTAGCAGTATCTCATGATTCACACAGTCAAAAGCTTTCGAAAAATCACAAAACACAGCCGCCGCAACTTCCCCATCATTGATTCCAGTATATATTTCATATAAAAGTGAAAAAATTGCATCATTTGTGTTCTTATTGTACTGAAATCCAAACTGTTTGATGCTCAATATATCACACGCCTGCAAAAAGTCAAACATTCTTTACTTAACGAGTCTTTCGATGATTTTGGCTAACGTAAATCCCTAGGAGAGCTCACTTTACCACCTTTATAGATCGGTATGACAATTGATGTTTTGAGAAACTGTGGAAATATGCCTTCTTTGAAGGATCCATTTATCAGAGATACTAGATGGTTCAGAGCATTATCTGGAAGATTTTCAAAGATCATAACAGAAAAGTCATCAAATCCTGTTGCGGTTTCATTTTTAATTGTATGTAACGTTTCTTTCAATTCATCAATATTAGTGTCATAGAAGATTAGGTTTTCATTAACATTGAAGTTTGCTAGATTTATTAGTGGAGATCATAAGCTACGGGTATATTTTTTGTCAATTCATCTGCAACTGAAGTATAATACTCATTTAATGTGTTCGGATTGAACTCCAAATCTACTTTCTTTTTGGGTTTTTTTCCTACAAGATCATTTATTATCTTCCAACTCTCCTTTGATTTTTTGGTGGAACTATCAATGCGATTTTTATAATAATTGTCCTTTGCTAACTTGATCAACTTTCAATATACTGATCTGTACATATTGTAGTAGTTATGGAAAGAATCTGTATTTGTATATTTTCTGATATAATACAGAGATCTCATATTTCTTGCAGATTTTTTTAATCCTTTTGTGAGCCAATGTTTCTTATGTTTGTTTTTAATCTTTCGAATTGGACAAGTATAATTGAAGATTTCAAGAAGTTTATTGTGGAAAACTTGAAATCTTTCTTTCAATGTTGTAGGTGATTCCCATATAATAACGATATGGTTCTGAGATTATGATTACATTGGTGTTAGTTATCTTTTCAAGTTTATTTACTGTATTAGAATTGAATTTATCTGGCCAAAAAAGAAGTATATCGGATGTTGACATTTTTTTTGATTCACTGAGAGCAGTTTCAAGTAGAGCGTTTTCGTCACAGTTTGTTTTGATGAAAGATTGGATCAGTAATGATCCTTCTTGTTTACGAGTCAGAGGTTCAATGAGATTTTTACCCCTTGATCCTGATACTAAAGTTACCCTGTTTCTACATTGACCACTTGTCTCTTGTCTCTTGATCACTTGTCTCTTGTATTTGATGTTCGTATGTTTTTTAACCGTTGATGCAGATAAATTCACTTGTTTGCCTTGATCAATTGAGATCTTTGAGTAGTTTTCCACCTTTTCAGGACCCCTTTCCTCTACGCCACTGAGGTTTGTTGAATTAAATTCTGTTGAAGTTGACTGTTTTTTTTCTAATAGGTTTTGTTTGTGTACTGATAGTGGTTGTATTCTTTTTTCCATTCGTTATTTTTTGTTGTAGATAAGTAATTTCAGATTCCATTTCTTGGATTTTGTTTTTGTACTGTTCATCTAAGTCACTCATTTCAGCTTCTAGTTGAATGAGGCATTGAGCCTCATTTAATATTATTTCCTTATCCTTATTCAGCTTTTCTATGAAGTTGATCAAATATTTTAACTGCTATTTCATCTTTTATGACAAACATTCAGGAGGAATCCTGGGAAGATTTGCTTGGCGTATTTGATTTGAATGTAGCTTATCGGTACTTTTGGGAGATATTTTCTTATTATTTTGAAATTAATTTTCCAAAACGTAAAAAATTCAATAAGACTGTTAAAAATGAAAAATGGGTTAATAACGAAATCAAAATTTAAAGTAGAAAGTTGAAAAACCTCTATAATCTTAAAAAACTCGTAAGGATTTTGAGATTTACTATATAAAATGCAAAAGTAAAAACACTTCAAGTTAGTAAAATCAACAAAGAAAGAATATTTCCAAAAACGAATTGAGGAGTCTGATAATCCTTCAAAAACAGCTGGGGAATTGTTTCAGAATTATCCAATAAACCAAAAGGCAACAATGAGGAAATTTCAATAGAGTTCAGTGATACTATTGTCGATACACCATTCTCGAGTAAATCGTTTTTTGAATCCTTTTACTGAATCTGAACTGTATGAATTACTAAATAGCAAACTTAAAAATAAAGGTTCTTCAGCATATGATAACCCCTATGTTTCTTCTGAAAAAGAGTCTCCGTGTTTTAATCAAACCTCTACTTCACTTGGTGAATATGTCATTCAGTAAAGGATCATTCCCTAAGCATTCCCAAACCAGTGTTTGAAAAGAATAGTCGAAAACTACTAGAAAACTATAGGCCTGTAACAATTCCATCAATTATGTCGTAAATATTCGAATATGCTTTTCTGAATAGACTTCTATAATTCTCTCATCATCATCATAATAACATATTCACAAAAAACCAACATGGGTTTCTGAATAAAAAATCCACCACTACAGCTTTACATTCATATCATAGAGAGATTGTGGACTATATTGAAGCAGGCGAGTGCCCTGTTGAGATGGATATTCTGCGATCTCAGCAGGGCATTCGACTGAGTTGATTATAATATTCTCCTAAGTAAGCTATATAGTTATGGTATAAGGGGTAGACCATTGGCATGGGTAACGGATTATCTTGTCATTAATAACAATGCAACGTCCAGCATGGCCCTTTCCGAATTAGGAGTACCTCAAGGGTCGATATTGGGACCTATATTGTTTGTATTGTACATAAATGATTTGGAGTATGCAACGCCCGGATTATAATCTCTGACAAATCAGATTCAGTTTTGAAAGAAAAATGTAAGCATGTTTATGGAAGTATTAATGAATATTTTTCTGCGAACAATTTGTTATTGAACGCAAAGAAAACATATTCAATTCGGCAACGGGAATGTGATGTCATCAGTTTTAGAACAATTGATAATTCCGACACAGTAACAACAGAATGTACGAGCTTAAAATTTTTAGGTCTTCACATTGATGAATGTTTGAATTGGCAGAACCACTGTGAGTTCCTAATCAAAACAATTAACTCTATTTCATATCAGTTTCGAAATATTAGGCAGGTTTTGAATGTTGATCAGATGCTGAGGCTGTACCATGCTCAGGTTGATGCCAGACTAAGATATGGAGTGAGCTTCTGGGGTCTTTCCACTCGCTGCTCTGACGTCTTTACGGCACAAAAAAACTTATACGTGTCATTAGTGGCGTAAGTAACCGTGATTCATGTAAAAATGCTTTTGAAAATTTTAGAATTCTAACTTTTCCCAGTCTTTTAATTTTTGACTTATGGTCTGTTTTTGAGAATAGAAACAAGTTGTTTGTACCAACTATGAAAATATTTGATCAATATTATCTGGGGCCATTTGATGGCTATATTTTCAAGTTTATCAAGAATGTTTACTGAAAATTCGATATTTAGCTAGAAATATTCATACTCAGGGGTGTAATGAAGATTTGAATAACACTCATTTCTTCTAATTGGTTCAAGAAAATCATTTGTACTCATATTTTTTATTTACCTATCATTTCCAAAATGCGAGTGAAGAACGTTGAGTAAATGACAAGTCAAAATGAAGAAAGTTAGTTGTTTAGTAGGTACTTGGCACTTATCAAAAGATGATGACTTCAATAATGATTTGCAATTTCACGAGTAATTAGTGAACGGATGATAAACAACTAGAATTTATTGTTGAATTATATGTTTTCAAATGAGTATTCATTTTTTTCTGAACGGGACTGTTAATAGTAGGTACCTAATAACTCTCTATTCAGATTTTAAGAAAACTCACTCGAGTTAGAGTTACAAGAGAAATACTGCCAATGCAATTGATACAAAATACTGCCAATTTCGCAATGACATATATTTTTGAGCATGGGTGTATGTTGCAACGAGATTGAGTTGACATTTCAACCCAATGAGACACCTAATCACCAATCTTTGTTGTTAGTCAGTATGGATGGTAAATAGAGTAATCAAAGGAAGTATCAGTTGAGATGGCTTAAAGATTAAACCTCTGTGAACGAAACCCCTAGGTTAGCAAGTTGAATATTGATTTTTTCATCACTTTCCTTTGTAACGATGTTCTTAGGAGGTATGATTATGTTTTCCTTAAAAGTAAATTGACAAAAAATTGAATAACAGTTGGTAAGTGTAACTATTTTCTGGATTTGAAGGCCGTGAATTTTTGGAATTTGGAAGAAATTTCAAAAATCCATGACCTTCAACCCGGAAAATAGTTATACTGACAACCTCGGCTGCGAAAGCCTTAACCATTTTGTCAAGAGTTGATGAAAACTAACTTTTTTATGTAGACTTATAATGTTGAGAGCGTTAAAGGATATATCGATAGAGTATCCACTGAATGTGAATGTTCATGTAACAACTCGGTAATAATAACAAACGTTCGAACGGAAGTTAACACACCATATGAACTACACAGCTTTTTATTTTATATTTTATACCTAAACTCATCTAAACCTATCAGATATCACAGCAATCTCCACTTCCTTCTCAAACCCCTTTCTGGTTTGTACCACATCCTCTCGTTTAGCGTTCGGTACTAACAGACAAGCACCTCCTCCCAAGGTCACTACGGCAGCTACAGTAAAGATGGGAATTTCACACTGGCTGTCCATCAAGTATCCAAAAAGCACGTTGCTGAGCCCTGCAGCTATCCTGCCAATGCAAAGGACGAAGCAGATAGCCACTCCGTTAACTTTAGTCGGAAACAGTTCAACTGCGATGCCCGAAATGCTCATGTTGGAGATGATCATGGTGGACTGGAAAATACAGGCTATTATGAGGTTCTGCAAGGAGGAACTCATCCAGTAAATGAGGCCAGAGCTCACGCCCCCTATTGTCATTGCTACCAGGCTGATATTCTTGGCAGATGTTTTCGTGGAAGCCCAGCAAGCGCAACCGCTAAGTACGAGGGCAGTTACACCCATGGCTGTGGAAAAAATATTTCAAAGATATTTATTGGGTACAACAATGCTTCTATGGATATTACTATGTACAAGCTTCTAATATTCATAAGATGGCCCGGAACCATTACGTCCACTATGAACGTACATAATGTATGTACATTGAAATTACAGAGACTGGATATACAAATATAAAAATGAATAAATCCAAGAAACATTCAACGTGAATAGTTATCAAGCTCTTAAGACAGTATTGAACCCTCACTGAAACTTCATTGAATTTACTCAAAATATTGGACTGAAGATGTGGTACGGTATATTTGTCGAGGACACATCTCTACCATTATAAATTAGTGCATACATTCAAAGTATTTTTCACGAATGCAAATGTTCTATTCACAAGTCACTTGTGCCTAGAAATTGTACAGAGAGAGAGAGAGAGAGAAAGGGAGAGAGAGAGAAAGAGAGAGAGAGAGAGAAAGAGAGAGAGAGAGAGAGAGAAAGAGAGAGAAAGAGAGAGA